GGCAGTGTTCAAGGGTTTCGTGCAACAAAAAGTAATGTGGTTAAATACGCTTTTCTATTAAGTTGAAAAATTACATATTTCGCCAGCCAAAAGGTGTATAAATAAATATATAGCATATTGCTATAAGATTTATTTATAAAAACGGTACATGCTTATGACCTTATTCATAAAAAAGAAAATAGATGTAAAGAAACATTAAAAAAATCGATTTGCTTACCTTTTAAGAATTTGGGAAAAACATTTAACTAAAGTTTTTGTGCACCCATCTCTTTTTCTGTTTATTATTTTCAAATTTTTCTTTTCCTTAATACTCATTGAGTTTTCATTTACACCCAGCAAAAATCAAAATATTTTATAAGAAATTTGTTGACCGTTTCTCGCACACTTCTCCCATGCTTTTTTATCGTAGTTATTATTCTGTTGACATCTAAATTGCCATAAATTTTATGTTGTTGCCAATACATTGTTTTCCGGCGTTTCCTCTGTGAACTTTTATTTTATACTTTTTTCCATCTTGTTATTGCTGAATATCAAAAAGGAATTAATAAATAATAAAAAGTTAGTTACAATTTTAGTGAGTGGTTCTTGCAAATAATATTATTTTATGGTTGAAATGACTTGATCGCCGTCAGGAGCTTATCAACTTTTTTGCCAAAACTAAAGCAGACGGGAAGGAAAAATAGTTGTTCATTAACGATTTGTCTGAAATATCGTTCTTGAAACGCGTTACTGCTCACTAAATTTGTAAACATAAAATTTTTCACTTAATTGTTATATTCTTCCTCATCGTGGTAAATTTACTCATCATCACAGCAGGGCGCAATCTTCTTTTCTATGATTATTGTATCGCTACTTTGAATTTCTCAATTTTGACAATTCTGATCTAAAGGTAAACGAAACCTCAGAAACTTTGAATGCACTGAAATTCACTAATACCCACTTCCGCAAAAATCACCTTATTTCGTATTTCCTTTGTTAAAAGTTATTGTAAATCATATTTTTATTGCCTTATTAATAAAAAATAAAAATTTTAAAAAGCTTTTTAATTGCCGTTTACAAACATTTTTCAATTTAAAAGCCTTTTTTAAGCTACTTTATTGTTTATGAATTAGCACAATCAAAACACGTTTCTTATCGAAAAATTTATTATTAAGAAAATTTGCTGTTCTCACATTTTCTTTCAACATCCAATTCGACTTTTATTATTTTTTGTACGGATATGTCATCGCCGCCAGGACGGCGCAATCTTGTATTCTATCTTTCTTGTCTAATATGCATTTAGATCTAACTGTCATACTACTATTAATGGTAACCATGAATATTCATTAAAATCGCTTCAATTCGGAATAAAAGTAATTTACATACTGCTAGTGTAAATATATTTTTTAATATAAACTCCCTTTTTTAATTCTAAAATACATCAACAATCTCAAGATTTATAAGAAAATTGTCTTCAAAAAATACGTCCCAAATCAACTCTGTTGATATCATAATTCAAATGCAAATTAGAATAGAAATTTTGATACAAAAGTTTTTCCGCGATATTCATCATACAAATTTATCATCTTACTTGTCCGTATGTCGCTCTGGAAAGAAATATATTTTAACTGATATGTTTTCTTGAAAATAAATGCAAATTTACCTATTTTTTCCACCGGCAGGCACGAATATGATATTCAAAACAGAAGCAATGACAACGAATTTTACACACATTGTTGTATTTTAGAGCAAAACGATAAGTTTCACAAATATTTTAAATTATTGCCTGGAACATACACATTTATCGTTATTATTGGAAATGCAAGACTTGGCACGCATTTTTAATTTCTTTTTTATTGAATTCAAATGAATAAGAACACATTTTTCAAAAATATTTCTCAATTTACATTTTAAAGTTTTTTCTGAAACTTGAATGTAACTCTGTGCGGAGAACGAGAGAATTGAAAATCAGGTGATCTCAGCTGTTTTCAAATGTAAACAAACAAAATGGCGCTTTCCATACTTGTAAGCCTATACAATGGTTTGCATGCAACTAAATAAAATTTGTTGCTCTTCTACTCTTTCTGTTGACGTTCGGATTGTGTACGTGTAAGAAGCCGATTGTGTACATGTGAAAGGCCGAATATAGTTCGCTTCCCAGGAAAGTGTTTGGCGGGCACTGGTGTAAACTTAATTGAGAGAGGAGATTTTTATTTCAGTGAAACTCTCGAGAGATTTCTCTACCGTGTACGCATAGCTTAAGGCTATGTTATGCATACTTGGCATTGCATGCACTACTATACCATTTTTACGTAAAAATCAAAAACCAACAGACTTCTACGTATGTAATGCTGTGCGTTGAGTAAGGCACTCCGCACATTAAGCTCCTAATCACAGTAGTGTAATCGTTTCGGCATACTAAAGTATAAAGCTTTTATGCCGAACCCATGTATTTCAATGAAGCTCTGTAGATTACGAGTCAAAATCATGTTTGCGCCTAATCATAAAAGCTTCATGAATCGAAGCGCCCAACATTGTAAGGCGCTTGCAGTTTTGAAATCGTCATTTGTTTTCTTTTTTGTGTTGTAAATAAAATTTATTTGTCAATTCAATAGAAAATAATTGGAAATGAACGATTTCGTGCTAAAATTCGTGCAAATTGCATTAAACCACAAGCGTTTATGCAATATTTCGGAGCGGAAATATTTGCGGAAGTGCGTGTTGCGAAAGAACGGCCAAAAAATGTGTTATATGTAGAAAGTGTTTATTAGCTGGTGACTTATGCAGGGCGTGCAAGTGTGCAGAAGTCGAGTCGTCATGCATTCGTTTCGGTATGATGAAACGATTACTTAGGCCGACTTCCAAAACGTATTAATGCAATGTTTGGAAACTGTTATGCTGCGCGGTATTCAAACTGTTTGTATATGCAGAGTTGCGACACATTGCAACCATATACATTGCATATTTTAAATATTCAAAATAGCAATGAACAATTTTTCTGAAATCTACATTTTTAAAACACCAGTGGTAACCAATAACAAACGAAGCATCAACATTGTTTCTGATGCACTAATTGCTCTGGCGATGCGTTTCGATAACTTTTCTTATGCGTTTTGGAAAAGTATACATTGTCAATATTTTGTAGCTCGGCGTTATGGAATATTATACTTTGTACGCATGGTACAATAAAAACAGGTAGAAGCCAAATTGACATCAAACCTACAAAAGTCAAAGTTTTCGGGAGAGTAAAAATAAAAATGAGCGTGTGTAAGGAAAAATAAAAAAATTACATTTCGCTGGTTGACGTTTTTAAGTAAATTTGAAGTTTTGTATTTATTTATTTATTTTCTTTAGTTAAAATTTGTTAATTTGTATGTTCTTTTCTATTTTTTTATACATTGAAAGTTTATATTTATAGTACTCTGTCTTGAGTGCTGAGTTTTCACCCTCCAGATTTTCAATTCTTGACTTCAGCAACAGAATTTCGAGTTTATAGCTGGATTGTTCTAAGTCTCCACTAAACGACTTAAATTAAAAATATTTCTATGAATATATCGCGTTTTAACAATGCTTACTCAGTTTGTGAAGCGCGATCATTTATTAAGCTTTCACAACTTGATTTATGAGTTGCAGTGTTGTTGGAAGGACTTTCCGGCATAAGGGTCATAGGAAGAGCACTTGGCATCAAACGTGCCTTTCCTGTACCTCCTGGTGCATTTATGAAATCTGCTGCTTTAAAATGCTTAACGCACAGCAAGGCATTTCGCTGCAGCTCTACCCCACAGCTGCTTTCCCAACGCTCCTTACGCCGAGGGCATTGAGGCGCGTTAAAAAAATTAGTGATGTCTGCATTATATTTAACACCACATAAAAAACAACGCTTCAGGTGCTGCATTTTTAACACATACACTAAGTATAAACCGCACAACACTACAAAAATGCAAATGTTAATTAAAATTTGTTTTTAACGAACATTCAAAAAAAAACAAACGACATGACATTTTAAGCGTAACGAAATATAGGAAATAAAATAAAATCAAGTTGAAGTTTAAAGGTTTGGTTCTCATGAGAGCAACGTCATTTTGGCTTCTACCTGTATTTATGTGCCTTGCTTTGTACGTATGCAAAGCAATTGACGTTTTGGAAGTCAGCCATACTCTACTTTGATTAGGCGCGTAATGTGCCGAGTGCCTAACCGCTTACACGCGAAGCTCATTTAACAGATTCCTTACTTCGGTTTACATCAGCCAGTATTTTCAAGACAATTATGTCAAAATGATGTGTTTGTTGTAATATGAATTCGGCCTGGTTACAACAAACACATCACTTTGACATAATGTCTTGACAATATTGTCCGGTGTAAACCCTAACTTATGTGACAACTCTCAAGCAATGCCAAGTATGCAAAACAGAGCCTTTACTTGGCATTCGCGGCTGTTTTCAATCTTTGAAGGATTGTGAAAGAATTCGCATAATATTACATGACCACAGAGAACAAATACAATTTACAGTTTATACAGATTTTGAGATTTCCAGTGTTTAAATCGACGATTAAAATGACTTGCGCATCCTAGTACTGTCTCTTCTCTATTTTCGCTTTCTTTCACGCTGTAATTGCGCTATGGCCAAAAGAAAGTGGGGGGAAGAAAACACTAGTGATCGAAGAAATAGCGCTGTTTAGAGAACAGCTAAACCCTTGAAAACAACATTGCATTATGAAATCTATTTGCTTCAGTATTTTTTCTCTTCACTGTAATACG